AGAGAGAGAGAGAGAGAGAGAGAGAGAGAGAGAGAGAGAGAGAGAGAGAGAGAGAGAGAGAGAGAGAGAGAGAGAGAGAGAGAGAGAGTCAATCAGTTCTTGTTGTCTTTCTCTCCTGTTGTGAGGTCACCGGTCTGTCCTTCACCTGAGTTTCTTTCCGCTGGTCACTACTTCCCGTTCTACTGTACATTCCCTGTGTACATTCTCTCGGTACATCACCTTTGTGGATTCCCTCCCTCCCCTATGTTTCCTTTCTCTTCTCCTTCCTTCCACTCCCTTCCTCCCTTCCCCCTGTTTCCTCCATTCTGCCCCTTCCCTCACTCCTCTTCCCTCAGTCTCTTCCGTCCCTCTCTTCCATCCTCTTCCCCTCTTCCCTCTGTCTTTCCTCACCTGCCTTTCAGCCCTTGCCCTCAGAGTGCCTGGTCAGTGATAGTAGCCTGTGATAGGCAATGTAAGGTTGCCAAGATTCGAGGCACCTCTTATTGCCTGACGTGGTTTTCCTGTTTTCTTCCACCTGCATTTCATTCATTTCCCTCTAAGACCCTTGTTTCGTATGTTAGACTTACCAATGCTGCAATGGGCATGGTAAGCTTTTGGAGACCTGGGATTTCCTCTCATTGCCTAGTCTGGTCAATCATGCTGAATTGTGAAATCCCGTTACGGTTATTCAATTTGTTGCCACTTTGCTGACTCCATCTGACCTGTTGTTCAATCAATCACCATCAGGTGCGTGAGTCGCATGGCCATCGGCTCCTGCATTTGCACGACCCTGCAGCGATCTTTGAATGGGATGGTGCCTGGTCCAGCAAAAGCCCAGAGTGGTCCAACTGCATGGAAGTGACCGAGGATATTCAACCTGTACTTGATGGCCCGGATGATGCATTTTGGATGTCATACAGAGATTTCTTGCAGGTGAGCTCCAGCTTTGGTTTCTCGTTCAGCCTTTCAAGCACATGTTTCAATATCTGAGTCACGGAATTCATTTCCTGAAACTGATCAGGTTCTCCTGACTTCGCGATGAATGAACGCCCTGTCCAATGTCCATCCATGTGTTGTCTGTTTCTTGCTAAGGGTCTGGTAATTGAACCGTAATTCTGTTCAACGCATCATCCAACCTTGAGCCCCATGGCCTGTTGGCCTCAGTAATATGGTAATTCTGTAGACTGCATCATATACCCTAAATACCATGGTTCTTGGTTTCAAGAACAAAAAATGCAGTATAGAGGAGTCTGAGGAGGGCCAGACCTTAAATGTTAATTTGGGCGGAGGAATTTTTGTATGAGAAGAAATTTGTGCTGTAGTCAGTGTAGTGTAGACTCCTTAGGGTCTTATGTCTCTACTGAGTGCTGAACGCTGTGTGGCATCTCATTCAGGGTTGAGAGCGAGCAGAGTACAGGGTTGGGTCCCTGTAGGGTCTATATGCGCATAAATAAGCAATCCAAGCACCTGTTTAAAGGACATTGATTGACTGAATTGATCGGAGACTCAAGCTCGTTGTTTACTTGATGCTGTACAGAAGCTGAGGAAGCTGAATTTAGGTGCAAACACTGTGAAGTTGGTACAAAGTTTAGTCTGACTACGTTTGGCAGGGGCACAAGGACATATGGATGGGGTGCGGTAAAGACGGGGGGGGAGAGGAGGCACCGGGGACGAGCAAGCAGATAACAGCCACCCCCTTATCATATGTCCTAGATGAAGTGATTTTCATTGGATCTGTCACACATGGGGTGGTCTTTTTCTTGCATTCTTGTGTCTTCTTGTTGGAATGCTTCATCCATTGCAGTTACCTCATGCCTGAAAGGTGTGTGTGTGTGTGTGTGTGAGGTGGGCGATATCATAGAAAATGCAAGGTTCCCCCACGAATTCTCTCTCATTCCATCCACGAATCATCATAAACCATCCATTAAAGAAAAAAAGTAGAGGTGGGCGATATAATAGAAAATGCAAGGTTCCCCCAACCTCCCCACATTTGTGTGGTTGAGGGGGAAGTGCCCACACACCCGTCTGCCGCAGAAGCGGCACACTTGCACAGATATGTATAGTTTTTCAATCTATAAAAAAGGATAAAGGGCAAAAGGCAACATACCTAACACAAAAGGCTCCACCATCAAGAAAACACTGACTACATCCGCCAATAGTCAGAAAAAACTTGGAGAGACCTCCAAGTCCGCCCACAAAGCCACAAACTTAATTGCACAAGCACAACAGCACTGGCACTGCTATTCATCCCAAACGACCCGCTCATGTCACCACCACCTCTATCACTCCATGGGTGTGTGTTGTGTGTTGTGTGTGTGTGTGTGTGTGTGTGTGTGTGTGTGTGTGTGTGTGTGTGTGTG